GACAAAGAAGAAACCAGGCAGTCTCTCCTCTCTGCTGCCGCCTCCCCTCTTGCTCCAGAGTTGAGCTCCCACCCCCCAGACCCCACCTCTTTCCACACACACACTCTGGCCTTTTTCCTAATTCCTCCCCCTTCGTTGCCAGGAGACTAATTCTCGGTCGTTTAGGACTCAGGCCGACTCTTTTGTTTACCTGATGGCCCTTTAACAGCATTCATGCAGGGGGGGGGAAGGGGAAAGGAAAGACAAAATTCCTTTCTAAAATCAGAACTATGACACTCATGAAAAACTTATTGTAAACACTTTGCAAGCCTTAAGGGGACCTGAACAAGTGGCAGTAGTACATATTAAGAGACACCAAAAAGGAATAACTCCTAAAATCCGAGTCAATAATTTGGCTAATCAAGAAGCAATAGCTGCTGCCCTACTAACCATTACTATTAATTCAGGAGAAAGTGAGGGACAAACAAAATCCCTGATACCCCAATTTACCAAACAAGAAACTGAAAAAACTCAGGGGGATGGGAATAATAGAGAAATCTGGGAACTGGGAATTACCTGATAGGAGACAAATTTTACCTAAAATGCTGGCTTGGAAAATAATGCAAAATATGCACTCCAAGACACACTGGGGAACTCAAGCCTTAGTTGATCAATTTACAATCAAATATATGTGTATTGTAATTTATAATGTAGCCAAGGGCATCATAAGAAATTATTTAACATGTCAAAAAAAAATTAATAAACAGCATCTCAGAGAACAAGTCCCAGGGGGCAAAGATCTAAAAAATCCAAATAGATTTCACTGATTTACCTAAAGTGGGATGTTATAAACATCGACTTGTAATAACAAACCATTTAACCCACCACATGTAAAAGCTTTTCCTACTACTCGAGCAACAGCCAATACAGTAATAAGGATACTTTTAGAATACATTATGCCTCGATATGGAAACATTAAAACAATAAACTTGGACAGAGGCCCCCACTTTATATCTAAAGTGGTAAAAAAATGCTTTGGCCCCTTTTGGAACTAAATAGCAATTTCATACGCCTTGGCATCCCCAAAATTCTGGCAAAGTAAAAAGAATGAACAGAGAAATAAAAAAACAGTTAACCAAACTAATAGTAAAAACTAATATGTCTTGGATTAAATGTTTACCAATAGTTTTATTAAACATCAGAATCCAAGCCAGGACAGACACAAGAATATCACCATTTGAAATACTATACGGTATGCCATATGACCTACAATACCCTGTAAATCATCCAACCCTGGATGAAAATAATATTACAACATATATAGTACAATTAATGAAAAGGAGAAAATAATTGCAAAAAAAAAAAAAAAAGAGCTATGGTAGTACAGAGACCACCATTAGAAATAGCCATGCATACTATAAAACCAGGAGACATGGTACTAATAAAATCCTGGAAACAAATTTCCCTCACTCCCAAAAGGGAAGGACCTTTTCTTGTTCTACTCACAACAGAAACCGCAATTAGAACGGCGGAAAGAGAATGGACGCATGCTTCACGAGTTGAAGGACCGTTAAAGCAAAACAACTGGGAAATGCATGGAACTTCAGGAGACATGAAATTCACGCTAAGAAGAAGAGCGACTTAATTTCATCATTCTCGAACTGTACCACATCAATAATTCCAAATACTTGTATATTCTTTGTATTTTAAATTGGACATTGAAAGACCTTAAGAAGTACTTTATTTTTCACCCTCAGGCAAAACATAACACCTGCATAAAGACTAAATATTACCTATGTAAAGTAACCTAATATTATAATTCCATATCTTGACCTTTCTGTTATATACTTGCCAAAGACAATTAACTTCCCAAAGAGCCAAATCACAACTTAGAAATTAGGGGGGAGAGGAGATTCCCTTGATATTTTAAAATACAAAAAACCAAACTTTTGTTTTATAAATAGTCCCCTGTGAAAACATGCCTAAAACCAAAAACAGATAACACAAACTATTTACTAGACAAAGAGTGCTCGTAGAAATAAAATTCTAGGAGTAGAAAAAAAAAAAATCTCCTACAGTTTGTGGGGAGGGAAAGACAAAATTGGTGAGATAATTTGGTTACAATAAGACTGAACAACCCCCTGTGTTAATTGGACTTCATAAGTGTTTTGTATTCCCAGATATTATAAACACCTGTGCCATCCCTCTAAGTAGGAACCAAAATGCAGTTCCCGCAAGCCACAACCTTACTCTGGAAGAACATAGTTGCTGCTGAGAAGATACACGCCCTTGCTGCTTCAAGCGGAGGAGTAGGCAAGAGAAACAGACCTATGCAAAAGAAGGAGTGTAAGTTGGCTCATTCCTTAGCAGGTGCAGATGGGAAACAAAACACAATCACAGATGGGAATAACAAAAAATTGGTAACAACACAAATTAATACTCCTCAAAAGTTTCTACCATCACTCCAAGTCTGATTAATTTTGATAGCCTGTATCTCCACTACATTTGAACCAAGCATGGGATCAGAAATCAGTCACCAACCCTTTAAATGGTCTTTAATACAATCTGATAACAATCGAATAATACGGACTACCATTGCTCCCGGGACACCTAGCTTTCAAGTACTGCTATGTGAATAAATCCCTGTCAGACCATGTTCAGAATTAAAAGGATACTATATGTGCCCAGCTTCTAATCCTGGAAAACCATACTGCAATGCTCCTGGTCACTATTAGTGTGCATATTGAGAATGTGAAACTATATCAAACTATTGGACCCCAGGCAGGGGAAAAGACAAGTTTTTATTTGTGGAGTGGGGACCGTCAGGGTGTACACCTCCAACAGTAGACCGAGTCTGGGAAATAATACACCAAGGAACCTGTAAGTTCCTATATTTAAACATTACAAATCCAGAAGATCTAAGATACATACTGGGGAGAGTATGGGGGGTAAAGTATTGGGAACTGGGGCCATGCTCAGACAGGGGAGGGCACATCCTAATAAAAAAGGAAATAGTGCCTAATAAACCCTCTGGCATTGGGCCAAACCCTGTCATACAGAAACGAGCCAAAGAAATCTTAAATCAATTTCACAATCTCAATTTATAACCTTACAAAAAAAAAAATAAAGGGAAGAGTGTAATAAATAAATTGAATACTTGTAATTTCTCTGTAACCTTCTGTATGTTTTCTTTCTGTAGTAAAATTGATAGTATTTTTTTTTTGATAACAAACCCCCTTTTTCCAGTAAAACATATGACACTGTTTGACAGGAAACTCCAATCAAAAAGACAGACAAAGGAATATACAACCTTTTCTTAAGGTAACTTTCAGGAACTCAAGAAAAGGCCCCTAGACAAAGAAATCCTTCTTCCAGGAAGAAAGCAGACAGAATAAACTTTCCCTGTAGAATTCAAAGCCCAATACACATCTTCGGGCCGCCAGGAAAGAAAAGATAAGATCACTGCAAGCATCAAACAGCTACTAAACTCATGCATGCGTTCTCCGGACCTCAACCTTGGATTGCAAGATACGGAGACCAAAATGGTACAAAAGGGGAGAGAAAATGAGCAGTCAGGGCTGCTTTACCACAGAGCATACAGCCCAGTGCACTGTCCTTTCTTGTTTGTTTTATATTGCTTTTATAATAAACTATTTCTTCATTGCAGCTTTTGCAATCTGGCTTTTTCTATTAACTTATATACAAGAGCTGTTGATAAAACAATGAACTTTGATTTTTTTTTTCCATGGACATCTGCATCGACCATGCTGTCTTGAGCTTCATCCCACCACTTGTCCTTTACAAAATTTACTCAACTTTAAAAGGTTCACAAGAGAAATTGCATTAAAGTACCAGTTATGTTTGCAACTTAAATGTTTGAAAAGCCATTTCTTCTTACATATACAGACACACTTAAAAATTTCATGCCTGTGAGTATTTAAGAACATGGAGTAATTTTTTCCTTCCCAGTTTAATCCCTACAGCAAAAAGAGGCATAACTTCATACTATAGTAACACTTTTAAAGAAGTTGGTCTTCCCTTTGTTACATGGTCTTCCTGCTTACTCTCGAGTAATGAGAAGATATTTCTATCTGAATGTATTTCTAGCTTGTACTAAATAGACCACTGCAGCACAGGCAATGAAAAGTATTAGTAGGTGGAGATGAACAGATAAAACTGTGGTGTGAATGAGAATTTAAATTAAAATATGTTTAATGGTACATTTTCCAAGAACTAGTGTCACTAGAGACAGTAAAGTGGATTAAACTACTTAAAAAAGATAAATTAATACTTTCTGTTTAGGGCAGCGAAGTAGTTTGTATTTGACTTGTGCCAGGGTTTCTTACCACCCTCTGGTGGCTGAATCATGAAATGCCCTTTTACACATGGGTCAAAAATAAGAGTTTTACCTAGGGGTTCTGGCCACTTGACCCTTCTTCTATAGAGAGAGGAGGCAGATGCAAAAAAAAGCAGGGTTGAAAATAAGTCGGTCTCTTAGATACACTACAGAAAATGTCCTTTGTAACAGCATATCCATAATGAAAACTAATGAATATAGTAGTTATTTCTGGTAGATCTTCCTTAAAGGATGGAGGTTTTGAGCTGTCAGGAATTCCAATCAATTTAGCTGAAAGACTGACTTGTGGAAACTATGCTTTGCTGCACTGCTAATGTCCAAGAATTTGCTTTGTCTTTTGTTGCAGAGTTGCTGCTTGAATCACTGTTTCTCAGTGTTGATCCTTACATGAGGTATATATTTTTCTTCTTTATGAATTGCTGGCTAAGATGCCTAATTCCATCAGCCACTTAAAACTCAAAGTAACATGTACTGAGAATTGTCAACAACAACCCTTGTTGTCAGAATCCTAATGCCTTTGTCTACTTTTTATAAAATGTGTGTAAATTACAAGACTCAAAGTATGGAGCTGAGCCAAATTTAGCTAGACATTGGGAAAATTTAGCTGCTGCCCTTTTCTTTGAATCTGCTGTTTTTCCTTGTTGTGTGTTCCACTGAAATGCAACAGGCTCAAATGAGACTGCAGGCCTGTAGAAGTACCTGCTTCATTTACCTTAGCAACCTTTTACTTAAGAGTACATATTCTAAGTTGGACATTGCTGATAGACTGATGTTAATAGGGGGCAGTTGAAGGTCAGGGAATCTAGGTAGTTTGAAGAGGATGCTGGTGGATGCAGGTGTCAGTTCTATGAGTCTTAGGCTTCTTGTGGTGGTGGACCATGCTGGGAAGACTAATGATATGGTGTCCCCCAATACTCCCATCCAGTATTTGGTCAAGATAGGATGCTCAAGTAGCTGGCTCTGGAAAACATCCAGTTATGCCACTACAGTGACAAGCTCTTTGTGATCTGTTCAACAGCACTGCTGGTATTCTATTTTTGGTCAGACAGTAGCTACAATTGTCATAGTGTATCTGGAATATTATTAAAGTTGCTCACAGTAAGCCATGGTTGCCTCTGTTACAGAGCTTACAGTCGAAGGGACATGAAGGAAGGGGACATAATGATAGGCACACAGGTTACCAGGTAAGATCTTCAGTTCTTATTATCCACGTGTCATAGTTCTGATTTTAGCAAGGCATTT